GGGGTGGGTGGGAGAGCATCCTCGAGAGCCTCAGCTCAGCTGTGGGGTGGGGGCAGCACCTCGATGGGTGGGAGGGGTGTGGGGCCTTGGTGACTGCCTGAGTCCCCTGGCCCCCACACCTCGAGGCTCTCCCACTGTGGTTTCCAAGGTCCCCACCATCCTGTAAGCTACGGCACCGGGGTGGAAAGATGCCCCATGCCCAGCTCCTATGGCCACCCCTCCCCACACTGAGGCAGGCCTGATTCTCTGAAGGCCTCAGCCCTGGACCATGGGAGGACAGCCCGGAAATGAACCTGGAGACCTGGAGGCTGAGCCCGGCTGCTCCTGGGTGGACAGCCTGACCCATAGATCCCTTGGCCTGGGTCCCGGCACCCAGCCTAGCTGCACACACCTGAACTGCAGAGCCCTACCCCCACCCCACCCATCACTGTGCAGGAGCGAGGCCTGCACCTGCCCCTCGTGAATGGCACAGGCTAGATGGCCAGTTGGCCTAGTTTGCTGTGCACAGGCCCTTCCCTGCGGCCCAGGGAGGGCACCCTGCTCCGTGGTGACACTCAGGCAGCCTGGCCGCTTCAGGGTGGGAATGGGAGCCCCCTCCAGCTGGGGTCCAGCAATGCAGGGCTCCAGCCAGCCCTGCCATCTCCATGCCTCGCTGTCCCTGCCAGGAGGAGGCCACTGCCCAGCTGCCTGCCCTGACCTGCAGCTCCCAGGAGGGGGCCCAGCCCCAGGGAAGGGAAGCGGCTATTTATAAACCACTAGTGAGGGAAACAAGCAGCGAAAGTAGAAATGGTACTTTCAGGCTCAGTTTCAGTTGTGGTTGAAACAAGGAACTGAGATTCAGAAACCCAGACACCCAGCAGGAGGGAGACCCAGAGAGGGGAAAGCTCAGAAAGCCGGCTAGCAGGCACAGGCTCGACGCGCACAGACGCTAGCGAGCGCGAACGGGGAGGGGACCACATGGAGGCCACCACCCGCAGGCCAGGGAGGGACAGCAGGGTGGAGCTCAGGAACTGGCCCCACACACAGGGCGTGACCTCGGGCAGCAGTGGGAGGCTTTGGGGGGTTTGAGTGGTGTCTATAGGGACCCATGAGGGGGAGTCCCCAGTACCCAGGCACTGGGGGGTCAGTTCCCAGCGGGGTTAGGGGAGCTGCCAGTGATGCCAGGCTGCTCTGTGCAGACGCTGAAACCTCTTCAGAGAGCAGCAGAGGCCCCCGAGTGGGCCTATTCCACACCACCCCGCAGCCCACGGGACAAAGAGGCTGGCACGGTAGGACTGGGGGCCCGAGGGCGGGGGTGGTCAGGGACCCAACAGCCTCGCAGGGCCCCTGCGCCAGAGTGGAGAGGGCAAAACCAGCCATGGGGGAGCCTCAGAGAACAGGGGATACCCCGAATAGTGGGCGAGGGAAGTCCCCTGGTGCTTTAGACATGGCCCACGTCCCTCTGCCAGGGCAGAGTTGGGTGGGCTGGGGACAGCCAGCTACTGTGCAGCCACAGCATCATAGAGTGGGCTGCAAGCCGCCCATCCCCCCAACATGGTGGGCCCTTCTCTCACCATCTTCCCCCTCCTGTGCCCACCTCCAGCCCCACCCCAGCTGCAGCCCGGGTCCTCCCCGGAGTCTGGACAGCCTCTGTCTCAGTACCAGATAGTGGGACCCAATAACCAGAAGCGGGGCCCACAGCTGTGCAGGAACCCCACGGGTGACGCCCCTCTCTGACTGCAGGTGCTGGCAGCACTGGCCATGCTGGGGCTGGGCTTCGTGGCTCTCACCTACCGCCTATTGCAAGTGCCCCCTCCTCCCACCTGGGGCCAGGCACACCCCAAGGAAGTGAGCGGCTCCATCCTGGCCTGGAAGCCTCTGGGAGGGGAGGCCAGGCAGCAGAGGGACTCCTGCCGGTGAGTGAGCCACGGGGCCCACAGGGGGTGGGTGGTCTCTGCTTCAGGCACTGCCTGCATCCGGCCATTGGATCTCCCCTGGGATAAGCACTGCCCCTCACCAGCTCCCGGGGGAAGACGCAGGTCACTGGGGAGGGTCTGGACTGTGTGGTCTGGAGTGGGGACCTGGACAGGGCGATGTGGGTGCTCTTTGCAGCAAACAGAGTCTGCCACCCGGGGCTCAGATGAGGCTGGGGGCCCTGTCCACTGCCAGGCAGGGGCCCAGCACCTTCGCAGTCCTTCCATCCCGGGGGTAGTTTCCCTGCCCCGCCTGCACCGCAGTCCCCCCTCTGCCCCTCCTGCCTTGCTGTTGGGGTCCTGGAGTCCCAGAACCTCCCCTGGCGGGAACCTATTGGTCCATCCTGCACACGTGCCCCCAAGACCAGTGCTCTCCAGCTCCTGGCCCAGCCCCTCCTTCTGGGTCATCTCTGGTGTTCACCAAGGGCTTCCACGCCAGAGGCCACCCAGACTCAACAGCTCCCTCAAGGCAGCACCTTGGGGTTGGAGCGGAGCCTGGGTCCCCCAGTCTGCCCTGCTCTGGAGTGGCCAGCCCCTGTCCGCTCAGGCTCCTCCCTGGACATGCCTCTGGGCTTGAGGCCAGTGCGGACACAGTGGGTAGTGTGAGGCCTGCTGGTGGCTCCTGCCCTCACTCAGACCTCTGCCTGACCCTCTCCGCAGGCTCGTCCTCGTGGAAAGCATCCCCCAGGACCTGCCATCTGCAGTCAGAAACCCAGACACCCAGCAGGAGGGAGACCCAGAGAGGGGAAAGCTCAGAAAGCCGGCTAGCAGGCACAGGCTCGACGCGCACAGACGCTAGCGAGCGCGAATTGAGGCCAGTGCGGACACAGTGGGTAGTGTGAGGCCTGCTGGTGGCTCCTGCCCTCACTCAGACCTCTGCCTGACCCTCTCCGCAGGCTCGTCCTCGTGGAAAGCATCCCCCAGGACCTGCCATCTGCAGCCGGCACTCCAGCTGCCCAGCCCCTGGCCCAGGCCTGGCTGCAGCTGCTGGACACTGCCCAGGAGAGTGTCCATGTGGCCTCATACTACTGGTCCCTCACGGGGCCTGACATCGGGGTCAACGACTCGTCTTCCCAGCAGGTGTGCCCCGGCCCTGCCCTGGTGCTAGGCACACAGCAAGTCGGGCCACCCCTCTGTGCGGAGCTCTGGCACTCCAGGCCCAGGGCTCAGCTCCCTGGGGACTGGGCTAGGACAGAGCACGGGCCAGGCTCTTACTTGGGGGCTGTCAGGGCCGAGGTGTTGGGGGGTGGGCCCCTGGAGGACCGAGCACTCAGACTGTGCCTGAGTGAAGTTTGGCTCCCAGTAAAGGTTCATCCAGATGCTTGACCCGACTCTGATCTGTGGGCAGACAGGGGTGGCCTCCTGCGGGGAGGCCTGGGTCCTGGGGAAAGGGGAACACAGGGTCATCTCTCATGGCCGGCCTGGCCTTGCAGGGAGAGGCCCTTCTGCAGAAGCTGCAGCAGCTGCTGGACAGGAATGTTTCCCTGGCTGTGGCCACCAGCAACCCAACACTGGCCAGGAAGTCCACCGACCTGCAGGTCCTGGCTGCCCGAGGTGGGTGCCTGCACTGTCCTGGGCCCTGCAGCCCTGGTACTGAGCGCGAGCTGTCTTGCTGGCATTATGGAACTGGGACAATGACAAAGAAAGGTGGAGATGCCCAAGGTGTGAGGGGTGGGAAAGTGCTTCCCCAGGACACCCAGGAGGGCAGGGGCCCAGGGTCTGAGCTCCCTCAAGTCGGCGCCACCTGCAGACGGGGATGTTCCAAGGACCCAGAGTGTCATTTCCACAGGGCAGAGCACAAGGTGGCTTCAGGGTCCCGCTGAGCCTAGCTGCTCTGACCTGGGGGGTGGAGGCTCTGGCTGGGGAGCAAGACACCACGGACACTGTCAGTACAAACATGGAGGATCCTGGGTTGGTCTGTGCCTCAGTTTCCTTGTCTGTAAAATGGGGACGATAATAGCATCAACTTAGCAGGGATGTTATGAAGATAAATGCGTCAACTCCACCGTACAGAGCTCAGACCCAGGCTCACAGGAAGTTGGCACTAACAAGAGATGGTTCATCCTTTCGTCCTGAACCCTCGACCAGGTGCCCAGGTGCGACAGGTGCCCATGCAGCGGCTCACCGGGGGCGTTTTGCACTCTAAGTTCTGGGTCGTGGATGGGCGACACATCTACGTGGGCAGCGCCAACATGGACTGGCGGTCCTTGACACAGGTGAGTCCAGGCCCCGAGGTGGGAGGCCCGCCTGGAGCTCTTCCCTCCTGCACCCCAGAGGGCTTTGCCTGAAGTCCAGCAAGTCTGGAGAAAGTCGGTGTCCCAAGAAGTGAGCAAACGGAACCCAGGGTCACGTAGCCACGTCTGCAGTGTCACCATAGCCTAATCAGTTGCAGACTGGCCCCACACGTTACGGAATTCAGCGTGGCCACCAAAATGTGGGATAACATTTTTTTTTTCCCTTTTTGTCTTTTTTCGTGACCGGTAACGGGATCGCAACCCTCGGTGTCGCGCCCACACCGCGCTCAACCAGTGAGCGGACCGGTCTCTATATGGGATCTGAACCCTCGGCGGGAGCGCCGCCACGCTCCCAAGCGCCGCACTCTACCGAGTGCGCCACCGGGCCGGCCCCTAGGATAACATTTAACAACGTGGAAAAATGTTTAAGTCGCATCGCCCAGGGAAACATGCAGATTGCAAAGCACAAGCTTTTTTAGGAAAAGTGATGCTTTAAAAATGAGGAGAGAATGATCGTGGACACGGTCACATGGCCGTCGCCTGACCGCGGGATTAACAATGATTGTTTTCTGCGTGCTCTTATGCATTTCCTATTGATTTCAGTAATAACGTGTATCGCTTTTATCGCTGGAATACAACGTTAAAAAAAAACCAGGGGCCGCTGGTCACCCCTCCAAGTACACCATCTACCGGACTCCTGTGGGTGGCGCTGGCGAGGAGAGGCTGCAGCTGGCTGGGGCTGCGCCCTGCACCCCCACAGCTGCCACCCTGGTCTCTGCAGGTGAAGGAGCTTGGCGCCATCGTCTACAACTGCAGCCACCTGGCTGACGACCTGGAGAAGACCTTCCAGACCTACTGGGTGCTGGGGGCGCCCCAGGCCGTCCTCCCTGAAACCTGGCCTCAGAACTTCTCGTCCCACATCAACCGCTTTCAGCCCCTCCGGGGCCGCTTTGACGGGGTGCCCACCACTGCCTACCTCTCGGTAAGGCGGGTCAAGGAGGGGCCCGCAAGACCACAAGGGAGCCCCAGCCTGGCCCTGCAGACCCCGTCAGCACCTGCAAGGTCCTCAGGAGCCGGCGTGTGATGGGGCCACGGTGCCAGGGCAAGGGGCAGGCTGGACTCCAGGAGAGGACGCTGGTCAGCGCCATCCACGGGAGACAGGCGCCTGGGAGGTGGTGGGGAGTCCTGTGGCCCTCGGAATCTCCAAAGAGACTGTCAGGAGGGGACGGGGCTCCAGTCCAGCTGTCCCCTTACTCTGCGGGGAACGAAGGGAAGATGGAAGGCAGGCCGGCTGCACCTGGGCAGACCCCTCGGTGGAGCACAGGGTGGGGGTGGACAGTGGCAGGTTTACAGAGGAAACCCCCCTATATGTGAGGGCCCACCCTGAAGCGAGTGGAGACGCTTCCTTCCCCAGGGCAGGAAACTGTTTCTGGGAAGTCAGTCCAGCCAGGGCCCGGGGAAGGCTGGCTGCTTCTGGCTGTCCCCGCCGGGACTCCAGGACAGCCCCAAGGACCCTGTGTAGACCCGTCCACTTCCCCCAGCCTTCCAGGGAGCACCTCTCTGCCTCCTCCCTCCACCACCACATGGGACCTCTTGGGTGGTACACGGTGGACTCGTGAGTCCAGAAAACCAGGGGCCTGCAGGGACGCCTCTCCCCGCACAGGCATCGCCACCCGCGCTCTGCCCCCAAGGCCGCACCCGGGACCTGGACGCACTGCTGGCGGTGATGCGGGCAGCCCAGGAGTTCATCTATGCCTCGGTGATGGAGTATTGCCCCACCACGCGCTTCAGCCACCCCGCCAGGTGGGACTGGGTGGGAGCTGGGGGGCCATGGAGGGTGGAGACCGGCTCTGCTGATGGGCAGCTCCTGGGCATGTGCCCTCCTGCCAGGACCCCTACTCATCCCAAGGCTTGTGGGCAGGACCCTGACCCTCCCCTTCCCCAGGTACTGGCCGGTGCTGGACAATGCGCTGTGGGCGGCCGCCTTCAGCAGGGGCGTGCGCGTGCGCCTGCTGGCCAGCTGTTGGCTCAACACAGACCCCACCATGTTCCCTTACCTGAGGTCCCTGCAGGCCCTCAGCAACCCCTCGGCCAACATCTCTATAGACGTGGTGAGGACCCGCCTCAGGGCCGGGCTGTGGGGAAGGTGGCCCTTGTCCCTTCCCCACCTGACTCGTTCCCTTTCTGTTCCCCCAGAAAGTCTTCATTGTCCCAGTGGGCAATCATTCCCACATCCCATTCAGCAGGGTAAACCACAGCAAGTTCATGGTCACCGAGAAGGCAGCCTACATAGGTGAGTGGCTGGGAGGAGGTCTGTGGGTGGTGGGCTCTGGGCCCTTGAGTCTATAGAGGGGCATCAGGTGCCACGGAGGCCACACAAACCCACAGAAGGGTCGTGTGCCCTGGGCGGTGGCCAGGCCAGGGTGCTGAGGCAGGCACTGCTGTGCAGCATGAGCCCCTCAGGACAGAGGGGCTACTGGGGGGGCCAGGGTCTCAAGTGGAGTTCTAGGGACCAAGCGACCAGCCCAGCTGTCAGCTGGCCCTCAGGGGCAGGTGGGGAAATCCTGAGCAGCGGCCCCCAGAACGGTGAGTCGGGATGCCTGTCCCAGGGTGACACAGGTGGTGTTGCACTCTGAAGAGCTAGCTGGCCCTCCACACCCAGGTGAGGGCTGGAGTCCACACCTAAGCGAGGGGCTGTCCGGCTGGAGCTTGGTGACAGTAGAGCGGCCAGTGTGCCCACTCTCCGCAGCCCTGCGGCTGGGGCATGGTCCTGGGCCGGGCTGCAGAGGGGACTGTGTGAGCGCAGTGGCTTTCACGCCCACCTCCCCGCAGGCACCTCCAACTGGTCGGAAGACTACTTCAGCAGCACCTCAGGCGTGGGCCTGGTGGTCAGCCAGAGGGCCGCACGCACCCAGCCAGGGGCGGCCACGGTGCAGGAGCAGCTGCAGCAGCTCTTTGAGCGGGACTGGAGTTCCCGCTACGCCGTGGGCCTGGACGGGCAAGCCCTGGGCCAGGACTGTGTCTGGCAGGGGTGAGGCCTGGTCCTTCTTGGCTCCTGGGCCCCACAGCCCTTGGTGGACACTGCTCCCCCTGGACCTCCCCATCTGTCCCTCAGCCTGGGCTTTCAGCAGTTCCTTCCACCCAAGCCCCAGTCAGGGTCAGGACTGCTCAGCACTGCCACCCTCTGGGCAGCAGCAAACTGCCCCCTGCTCTCCAAATCCAGCTCTTCCTGAACCCACCTCCTGAAGAGTACTGACATGCTTCCCTGTCCTTCTGTGTGAGTCCCACACAGGGCTCCGCCCCTCCTCCTCCTCGGCCCTAGGCTGGAGTTTGGCCTGTGGGACCCTGCGAAGGGCCAGTCTTTAAGCAGCCACCCTGGCAAAGCCAGGCCGCATCCCCGTCATGGGAAGTCCTTCCCCAGTCCAGGGGACAGAGTAGGGGTGGCCGTGCTCCGGAAGCTAAATTCCGGCTTCTCAGCTGCAGGCTGGGTCAGGGTGCAGAGGGTCAACATTAATGGGGGGAGGGGAGCACGAGCCCACTGACAGGCCTCATGAACACAGGGCGTCCCGGGCACGTGCAGGGGCGGAGAGGGCAGGCCCAGAGCATGGGGTTGGGCCCAGGACCCGGATGCAGCCCCAGGACCTATGAGTGGGGTCGAGAGGACGTGGATTTGAGCTGGTGTGGAGGAAGGTGATACCCAGCTGGGATGGAGACTTCGGTGCAGCCCCATGGTTCTGAACAACGCCTAAGGCCCATAGGCCCTGGTGAGGCCCACTGAGCTCAGGGATGGTTCAGTGGTGCGAAGTGGCGCTGGATTCTGCGTGGGCACCAAGGTCCTGCACTTGGGGTGCAGTGCTGGGGGCAGCTCTTCCCTGCCCTCCCCCTGTCCTCTCTGCTCTGGAAGAGCTGGCAGAGTCATGTCAGGCATGGCACAAGTTCTTTGTTTGATCGGGGTCCTCGCACTTCCCCTTCTGAAGGACACCTTAGACCTCAGCATCCTCTTCAGTGCAGAAGGCCCCCTAAACCCATCCTGCCTCCCTGCCCAGATTCACGAGTAGCTGGAGAGTGTGTCATGGATGTGGGAGGCCCAGGGACCCATGCAGCCCTGCAAGGCTTCTAGAGCCTCTGGGAGCTGGTCTGTATGTGAGCTGCCCTTGACCAAGCAAAGCCCCAGCAGCTGCCCTGTCCTCTCCCTGTGGCTTTCCTTACCTGCCCATGCTCCAGATCTCCTCTGCAACCCATTTGCCAAAAAGCTGCACGGCAACACCTCTGCAGCCCAGACCCAGCTCTTCCCGCAGCGTTGCACATGCAAGTCTGCTCTCTGATTCTTGGGCCTACAGCAGATTGTGTCCTGGGGCACTCAGCCAGCCATGTTCCAGGAGGGCTCTGTGCTCCAGCCATGACTGGGACACCTGCATGGTGGCCCTCAGCCAGTGAAAGGCCTGTTTCCACACAGTCTGGGGATGGAAGCTACACCTCAGTGGCAGCCTCAAAGGCCTGCTCCAAAGCAGACCCCGCTCCAAAGGAGACCCAGCTTGACAAGGCTTGGGAGAGCCCAGGAGGGCACCAAGATGTGGCTTCTTCTGGGATGTGGTGGACAGACCTATGATCCCTACTTCCTGGTACTCATGTCCATGTGTAATCTCACCTTGAGTGTGGTCAGGATCTGTGCCTTGCTTGTAACCAGAATACACAACATTAATGGGATGTCACTTCTGTGATTACATGACATAAGGCTGTCTCTTACTCGCTTTGATGTAGTGAGCTGTAAGGCTGGGAGCTGTCCTATGGAGAGGCCCATGTGGCAGCGCACTGGGGGTGGCCTCCAGCCAGGAAGAAACCAAGGCCCTCTGTCACCCGGGCCACAAGGAATTGAACTCTGCCAGCAACCATGTGAGCTTCAGAAGTCACTCTCTTCCCAGTCGAGTCTGGAGATTAGACTGCAGCTCCAGCTGACACTTTGATTGATGCCTTGTGGGACCCTGAGCAGAGAACCCAGTGGAGCCATGCTTGGACTCCTGACCTCAGAAACTGGGAGATCATAAATATGTGTGGTTTTGAGCTGCTGATTTATGGTGATATTCTTACACAGCATAGACAACTCACACACAGGGGAACCAAGGCCATGTGGGAATGTTGTGGCAGCCTCTGCTGCTCAACTGCTTCCCAGTTGGTGTGGTGGCTGCCTGTCTGGCCTCCAGTACCAAGGTCCCACTATCCCAGGCCTTGACTGCAGGTTCAGAGCAGGACAAGAGCCCCCTGGAGCCAGGCAGACTCCCACTGCTGTGCTCCCTGGATTGCACTCACCAAGCTTGTCTAGCACACACGAGTTGGAGCAGAGAGAGGGAGGGAGCCCTGGGCTGGGAGAGCACCCCTGCCCGGCTCCACTGCACACAAAGGCCCACCGACTCCCTCACCCCACCCCAATCGTGAGCCACCCTGGGGCCCTGTGTCAGCTCACTTTCCAGAGGCTTCCATTTTTCCTAACTTAGGTGACTCTCCCAGCCAGCCACAAGGGAAGACATGATGTGTCCATTGTGGCACAGGGAGAGGCATAGTCTCTCCTGTCCCCCTGCCCTGTGTTCCTACACCCCACAGCCTCCACCCTTCTGGGGCCTCTCAGGGCAGCACAGGGAGTGGCAGGCCACCCCCTGGGCCCACAGTGCTCCAGAGCAGCTCACAGCACAGCCGTGGGAGCAGCTTTCCTCCCCAAGGGACAAGAAGTGCTTGTCGCCAGAAGCCCTGCTGGGCCAGGAGGAAGCTGGGCCCAGGTTCCAACCACCCCTCAGAACACTGCAGACCCATAAGCCCAGGAGGGGTGTCTGAGGGCAGCTGAGCAGAGATTTGACCACTCAGAGGGTATAGGAAAGCCCTGGAACCTCAGCCCGCTACCCCACAAGTGGACTTGCTTCCTGTGGCTGCCTGCAAGGGCACAGATGGTGAAGCAAGCGTCTGAGGACGGGCCCCGAAACATGACCAAGGACCCAGCTAGCCCTCCAGGACAGGGACTTCTGTCTGCGTGGTATCTGCTCTGTGCATCATCCTCTGTCCTGAAGCCTCCTTCCAGCCAGTGGGAGGGAGTGTGCCTGTGTCCCCTGCCACATGTGAACTCAGGGTCCCTATCTTGTCTGCCTCATAGCCTCTGGCTTAGACAAGGATCTGGACAAACAAATGGCAAGTCAGCAGCACTCTTGGATCCATCCTTGGCTCTGTTTTTTAGAGCAAATCGGTAGAGACAAGGACTGGGGGTGCGCAGGAGGAAAGCGTGGGCTCTGGTGAATTTTGACCAAGAAAAAAAGACCTCAGCAGCCACTACTGTGGGGCACATCCCTTCCTTTATTTCCCACCCAGGGAGCAGCCAAACCAGTCCCATGTGCAGTCTGGCTGCAGTGTGTACATAAGGGGCCCAGGGGTGACAGCGTGGCATGATGTGCACACAGGAGAGGCACTGACAGATGCCGGCAGGCAAGTGGACACGCATTGACGTCTCGTGATAACTCGTGGGTGTCTTAACAACCTCTGCTGGCTCATCTCACCCAGTGCACTGGGCACAGTCGCCGCTCAGCCACTGACCATCAAGCTTCCGCCCAGCATGTACGCATCGTCACACAAAGCATCCCGAAGCGTGCCACTAGCAAGACATTTGACAAAGGAGTAAGCTCGAAAGTGAGCAGGAAACGGTTTCCTGGAATACACTGTACTCTGCCTGAAGTAAGAAAGCCACGTTCATCAGGAAGCAGCAGCAGCAGGACAGCAGCTACACTGAAAACCGCACCCACAGCCATTGGAACTTCCCCCAGAGAAGCAGCGTGTTCTGCTGGGCCTCACGGGCAGGTCTCTTGAGACTTACACGGTGCAGACCAGCCATCTTCTGCCAGAGCACCAGTATGCCACGTGAATCCAGCGTCCTGTGTGAAGTCAGGTGCCTTTGGTGCTTCTAGAGCTCCGAGAGAGCTGGGCACATTTTTGGTTCCATTTCTGGGGGGCCATGTGACAGTGACACAGAGTTCTCACTTCTGTACACCAAGGGGACGTGCAGGGTTGCTGGCCTCTGTGCTCTACCTGAGCTGCCCAACTCTCCCCCACTGATGAGCCACTGTCCAGCCTTCATTCGGTCATGGGCCTGGACACAGGGTCATCACCAGCTTCTTTGTCCTGCTCCAGCAACATTAACTCTGTTCTCGCCGTGGATGCCACCATCGCTTTGGAGCCTGGCCTGGCGCCCACGGCGTCCCCCGGCTCACCTTCCTCCTCCTCTTCAGGGGAGAAGCTTTCCCGGGCGTCAAAAAAGGTGACTGTTTCTTCTTGAAGTTTTTGCTCTGCCAGGTCTCCCTCATCTTCGGTGCTTTTGCTTTTCTTGGTAGGAGAAGAGGAGAACCCTAATTTGGGAAATCGGAACCAGCCCGCCTTCTCCTGCTTCTTAGGCAGCTCTGCCTCCGGCCGGGCCTCGGGCTGCATTTGAACGGGAGCAGATCTTGGGACATCAGCTTTGGAATCAGCACTTGCCTCACCCGCAGAAGAAGAAAACCCAATGTTTGGAAGCCAAGACCAGAACAGGCCAGAAGACTTTTTACTTTCTGGCTTCTCTTTTGGAGCCTTGTCTCTATCTGCCTGGGGGGGGGTGGGCTCTTGGCTGTCTTCAGCAGAAAACTCGAGAATTTCTGCTGGTTCCTCATCGGAGCAGCTGCCTGCAAGCTGGCGGCCGGGACGCACTTCAAACGTGAATGCCTGTGGTTCTGGTGCGCTGACGCTGGAAGAGATGATCTCAAACGGTTCTCCGCTGTCAGGCTGCAGATCTGCAGACATCGAGTCCATTCCTGGAGCAGCTGCAGCGGGAGCCTCTTCCAAGCCCTCCCGCATCAGAGAGTCTTGAGTCACCATGCACACTCTAGCCTGCCTGGGGGGCTCTGGGATTTTCACCTTCAGCAAGGAAAATCCATAAGAAGGCATTTGAATCTCGGATGCAGGGATCTCTGATTCCCTTATGATCTCAGTGGAAAATGCCTCAGGTGCCGAGAGATCTGCAAATTCTGGTGTCAACCTGCTGTGTATGGTAACCTCCTGACTCTCCACATGAGCACCCTGAATGTGCACTCTGACCTTGGAAACTGCGGAAGTTTCCGGGGAGCCAGCAAGCCCCACTGGCTGCTCCCTGGGGATCCCAGTGCCTGCCTTCAGGATGCTGGCCCCCCAGAGCTCGGGGCTCTCCTTCCGAAGGGCGATGTCAATACTGGTCTCTGGACACCGCACTTCCCTCACAGTGGGGACGAATACATCGGCCTCCAAGCTGGCAGCAGGGAAGGAGAACCTTGGTGTTCTCAGTCTGGGGAATTTGACAGTTAGAACGGAGTCTTCCCAGAGTCGATCCACGTTCACCACGGAAATCTGGGAGGGCACTTCAGTACTGGAAGCCTTCAGTGTCAGGGGACCTTCCGGCCGGGAGGACCGTTTCTCTGTTCTCTCCTCCACCTGGGCGGGTTCGTGTCCTCCTGGCCTAGCAGGAGGCATCTTGGCCATCTCTCCTGCAGGAGCCTGTGTTTCTGAAAGTCTCGTGCCAGACACCTGAACGGGGAGGGAGCTTTCGGCTGGACGGATGCTGCCCTCGGAAGGGGAAAGATCAGCCTCGGACATCGCAGCAGCGGGGAGGGACAGCTTCAAGCCTGTGCCCTCCATATTATGCCTAAGGATGTCTGCGTGCAACTGGCCCTCGGAAGCTGTCACATCTGCTTCTGCTTCTGGGGGCCACAGAGACGTACCTGCCTCCACCTTGGGCCCAGAGACATGGACCCCTTTGACTCCAGCTGCCTCTTCCTCTGTGGCGGCGCTGGCAGGGGGTGGGAGCTCCAGCACTTCCCGCCCCCTGGCCCCACCGCTCTCCTTGGAAGAGGAGCGTCGGAAGCTGGGCATGCGGAACTTGGGCATCTTAAACCAGCTCTCGTGTGAGTCCCCTGTCATTGCTCCCACGGGGGCTTCCTCCTCTGGGCTATCCATTGTGGGCACTTCAGCATCTATTTGACAGGATGTCTGAGGGGGGTCTTCTGTGGCTAGGGCTGTCCCCTCCCCACGGGGCTGGCTGGCTGGGACATCCCTGAGCCCCATGCCTTGGCTTCCACCTCCAACAGATGGGTCATGTTTGGGAAGAGGCAGGTCAGCTTTAGACTGGCTCACTTCCACCTTGGCCTTGGAGGATCTGAGATCAGGTTTGGCAAAGCCCAAACTGGGAATGCAGACTTGGGATGGATGGACGTCAAAGCCCTCTCCTGGGGAGTCCACGGTTGCAACAGTGTCCCCCTGACCCCCACCACTGCTGGGCTGCTCTGTGGCTTGGACATCCCCTCCTGCCGTGGCACTGGAAAGTGAAGGATGCACGTCTGCCTGTTGCAGGCCCACCCCGCCTTTAGAAGCCTTCATTTTGGGAAGAGCAAGTTTTGGCATGGCAAAGCCAGACTTCCTGAGCCTTCCCTTCACCCCGTCCTTCTCAGGAGGCATGTCCGGGGGCACCTCCATGTCAGACACACCAACCCCAGGCTGGGTGTCCGCCTGACCCACGTCTAAAACCACGCTGAGTTTGGAGTCCTCCAGGCTGCATTCAGGGTCCCATCTTGGCTCCACCTCCTTCTTTGGAGACCAGTTAAAAGATGGAAGCTTGAACCTGGGCATCTTGAAGGGACTCCCTTTCCCTTCACGGTCAGCATTGTCAGCTGGAGCTTCTCCTGGAGCTGTTGCCAACATCCCCAAGGGGCCCGACTGATCCTTTCTACCCTGGGACACAGGGGTACCTGTGGGGAGCAGCTCAGTGCTTGGCAGTGGGGACACCTGGCCGTCCTCTCCTGAAGAGTCTCCCCGCCACCCCAAGATTGGGGAGGACAGAGCTGCAGCATCCCCTGCGGCACGCAAGTCTCCCTCAGGAACTGCCGCCTTCACAACTGGAAATGCAAACTTTGATTGATAAAACTTAGGAAAAGTCACCTCATGGTAAGATGCAGGAATTAGGGCATCCACTTTGCCAGGGTGGCTGTCGGTCTGTGACAAGGGAATGTCCTCAAGGGCATTCAGGTCTATAAAGCTTTCTGGGCTGGGAAGGGGAACATCGGTCTGTGACCCAGAAGAAGATTCCTGAGAAAACTCAGGGCCCAGGGGAGCTCGGGAGACAGTCACCTGGTATTTCGTAAGCGTGACACCCCCACCGGGAGTGTGGATGGAGGATGCCACATGGGGGCCAGTGAGATCAAGGCTGGCTGAAGCAAAACCCGAGAGTCCCACCTGGGGCACGAGAACAGCCGGCCCACGGTCCCCCCCACACTGCCCCTGTGCCTCAGTGGGCTGCAAGTCCACAGACACGGCCTCTTGACTCTGGGGAACAGGTGCCCCCAAACCACCTTCCAGGTCTGTCCCACCTGGGGCACGAGAACAGCCGGCCCACGGTCCCCCCCACACTGCCCCTGTGCCTCAGCGGGCTGCAAGTCCACAGACACGGCCTCTTGACTCTGGGGAACAGGTGCCCCCAAACCACCTTCCAGGTCTGTAATGTCTTTACGAGACTTCCCTGAGGAAAAAAAGCCTTTGCGGATGTTACTATGAGGCTTCTCAGGTCTGGTTTTCTCTTCATCTTTCCCAAATGAATGCCCGAAATCACTTCCAATATTATAATGAAAAGGACAACCTCCAGGAACGGTGACAGCAGAATCCACCTCCCCTAAACTCAAAGCCTCTTCATTGAATGTAATCCTCCCCTCCACCTCTCGAATGCTCATGGAAGCCTTACCAGGGGACCAAGAAAAAGAAGGAATACTGAACTTGGGGATCATGAACTTGCTGTCTTTGGCGGCCACGTCCTTGTCTCCCAGGGAGAGGTCCCCCTCCAGCTT